AAAACACACAATCTTGAATCTTATAAAATACACCTACCATTTTCCAAATCTTTTTAAAGTGAGTCTAATACTTTTAGATTATAAAGAAAAAAATATAGAAACTTAAGAAGTAAAGGTGGAGAATATGGATGGAAATTAAGAATCTAAGGTGAAAGCAGGGTCACTACAATGATGCCTTGGAACTTAGATAAAAATATTCTACATTGTCAATACTTTGTAAATTTTTTCAATACTTGGCCTCAAAACCTTCCAACTCAATCAACTGGCTCAAATAACTTTGATTACAAGATCTTCAAATTTACTTTTGAATCATGGATGCATTGACAAAAAAGTAGGAAGAAAAGAAGAGAATAAGGGAGGGGCATGAATGGATAGTGTGTTGGATGAGAAGAGATTGCAGGAGTTGAAGGAACAAAAATTATTTGAAATTAATATCATATTTAATACTATAATAGCTTGACTTTGTACTTATATTTTGATGCAAAATCAGCTGTTTTTATAATTTGAGAATGTAGCTTATTTTGAATAATCTATTGTTATATAATAATATATTAAAGACCATATAAAAATAATTATCAAACGAATTGCATCAAATATGTAAATTGGTCTAATTGACGAATTTTTTTCCTTTATTGATTCAAATACTTCGTTGAAAAAAAATATAAATAAATAAATAAATAAATCCCTCAATGTTAAAATTTTTTAATTAATATATTTATTTTTTTTTGAAATTTTTATTTTAATAAAGAATAGATTAAATTCAGTAATATAACACCTTAGTATAATAGAGATTATATATTTAAATCTCACTTCTCCATAAAATTTATAATTTTTTTATATAAATTAAAAATAATTTTATTTATTTTTAATTAAATAAAATATTTATATTTAATTAATAATTAATTTTTTTTATGAATTAATTTTTTTTAAAAAAATTAAATCTATAAGTTAATTATATTTTAGATTATTTTTATTTTAATATATAATATAATTAACATGGAAAAAAAATCATGTACACCAATATATTTAACAATCAACCATAGAAGCATGCCTTTCAACCTGTCTACCTTATTAACTCTTCTACTCTCCATTTTTAGACTTTAGACCAATAGCCAAGATGTAATCTATGGACCACCGCAATTTAACAAAGCTAATTGTAACGGTTGGAAGGCCTAGAGGCTAATATTTTATAAAGAGTGGCTAGAGCATGAAATAGTATAGACAATTATACACATCTTGAGGCACTTGATTCTATTAAACAATCATATTCTACCTACTATAACTTATCTTCTAAGTCTCGCTCTATCTCTACAAATTGATTTTCAACAACCACTACTAACAACCTCACTCTTGACTTCCTACTTTTGCAAGATGAACTTCTATGGAACCTCAAGTATAATATAAATATTATTAAATTCTTATGTTTAACTCTCCCAAGTTGTATCTCCTTCCCTTCATATCCACACATGGAGTACATGCCTCACTACCATCCATATTAATTCTTCCATCATCTCAACTTACATATACAATCCTACCCCCTTTAATCTTCTATCTTTCAATCCAATGATTTTTTTAAAACCAAAACTAATAAAACTTTCTACAAAAAAATAGTGTTGCTACATCCACAAAAGATATGCACTGGAAATTCATTTTAATTGAAATCAAAAGCTTGTGATTAAATCCTCTCATACTATTAATATATTACCACTATTTGCACAATATCGTATTATAATTGTTTATAGTATATAAAAAATAAATAAAACATATAATATATTTATAAGTGTTGATGTATATTAGAATGGTTAATAGATTAATTTAAAAATAATTTATGTAAGAAAATTTATTTTTAGGTTTACCTATTTTGATTATGGTGTTTAAATTATATAGGATTTAGATATTTAGTATAAAATTTAAAGAGAAGATTGGAGCTCACAAATAAAGATCCAAACCTCTAAGAAGCTTATTTGGAGGAATGAAAGCAAGGTATGAATGGATGAAGGCAAGAAGTAAAGATCTTCATTCCTATTAGTCAAAAGCTATGCCAAATAGGCTCTCAAAAGGCTATTTGTGACAATAACAAGGATTTTGGCAACTTCAAAAAGAATATTTGAGAATTAAAAGTAAGGATTCTAAGTTATAGGATTTGAATTATAATTTGTACACAAATTCTAGAGGGTTTGGAATTAAGGTGATGAAGTTATAGCCATTTGAAGTTAAGGTGTTTTTTTAAGACATACTATTGTTTTGATGATACAAGGAGTTATATGATAGCTTTTAGAAATTAGAAGGTGTGGTTGCAAGAGTGATTTCAAGACCTATGTCTTTACAAAAGAATTGGTATGTTTGGAATTTGTATCGAGTTATAAAACATTGAAGACAACACATGTAATTCAAAGGCAATAAGTGAGCTATTTTATTGATAGTAATTGCTGAGGCTATATCTTGAGTTTCCAAATGAATTTTTAGCTCAAAATTTCCAAAGATAAGTGTTATTAGGTTAAAAAGCTATATTTAAAATAAATATGGTATTTGAATACTTAATTTATAGATATAAATAAATTTATATATAAGTATATGAAAATAAGGATTTAAAGCTATTCTTAGGATTTTGGCAATATTTCAAGATCTGTAATAAATCTTTAGTTGAAATTTGTTGTGGTAGTTGTTTAAAATACATTAATACTTTATATAAATTTTTATTTTCTTTGGACCGTTCGATTGTAAAATATAATCTATTGAAGTTTGAAAAGAATTCATTTTAGGTTATATAAGGGTTTAAAATATTTTTATCACATTTTGGTTGTTTTTTGGTATTTAAGACTTATGTATTGATGTAATTACCCATATAGGGACAAATTTATATATATAAACTTGGTACTTTTTTTATCTTGAGACTTAATTGAGCAATTAATGATAGCTAGAAGCCTAATGCTTTTTTAAGACAAATTCTCTCTACCCCGACAATAGTGAGGGCCATAGATATCATAAACATATCACCATGGTATTACAAAGGTTGCATGATGGAATCCAATAGTTGATTGTAAGGTATATTGAGCTCCATCCTTGCCTCCACCCTTAAGCTCAATCTACTTCTCCATCTTGTCTCCTTCTCCACCTTGTCTCATCTCTACTTTGCTTTATAATAAATGGTAAATGCACCCTTGATTGTCTACTGTGCACTATTTCCAATATATCATTGCAATGTTTGTTTAATGTTGCCTTCCTACTTTGACTATACTTGACTTTATTTGTGAAATATTGTTGTTGCTCTACAATAGAAGCATTTGGTATTCCATACTAATGCTTGATGAGAAGTTGGCAATGGAAGGAAATTCCAAGAAATCAGAGTAGGATCATGCTAATATGAGTAATTTGTGGCAGTTTGAGTTTCAACTATTCTAGTTATAGCATATACTTAGTTACATGAATGTCATAAATTTTGTGAAGATTGAAGCAAGGAAGTTGGTAGTTCTCAGCTTGTCATTTCTTCTTATTGTAACTGGGGAATCCATATGCAAAGTTGAAGATTGCTGACATTGCTATCAAGGAGCCCACTACTGCCAAGAGTAAGAGTGCATAAAGAAAACCAATTCCAAAGAGAGGCAATGTGAGTGTAATCAATACTTTTTTGAATCTTAAAACCTTTCACCAAATTGAGGAATTTTGAAATGTTTCACATGTATTGAGATGTTTGTAATATAATAATGCTAAATTTTGTCATTATTGGACTTGTGTAGGTGACAAAAATGATCTTCAAGGATATCAAAGATACTATGAAAGGATGAGTTGCTCATAATAGAAGTCATGTTTTTTGTAAAGATAATGGCTAGATGTAATCACTATCATGGAGCCAAGAATGTGTGTTAAACATAGATACTCTTGATTATTATAGCTATAATATATCATTCATCTCAAGACTCTAGATGTAATGATTTTCTAAGTCCTTGAGCTTGTCTAACTCCAAGATTCCATTGCTAGATCCATCTCTGATCTTTCTCTTCTTACACACTAAATATAAGAATATTACTCAACTATACCTAGAACCATCTAAAAGTAATGCAACTTCCTACACTCTCTTCTAGAATTGTTATGCTATCATAATATAAATCATGAGCTTAACATCACACTTGAATGTGTGTCCATCTCTAAGATCTTTGAGAGCTATGCTCTTTGTTTATTTTTTCAAGGCAACAAAGTAATGTTTTATACTCAAATGATCAGATGGTAGAAAAACAGAATGAATAGATGAAGCTAATTGAAAACAAATCAAAGTGTATCTACCAAAATCAAAGATCCACGTTGTCTCATTCTAAAACTTTTCTTTAGAATGACATGATAATTCTAATATTTTCTTATATTTTGTGCTTAGTTTTTATATAATAGCTAAAGAATGTCATTATATTTGAACACAATGACACACTTTACAATATTCAAAATACAATGCATGATATCAAAGTAGAGAATGGATGAAAGAAAGTTAAAGAAAGAATTGAGAAGGCAATAAAATAATGTCATGATAGAAACCAATGAAGAATACAAACAAACATTCTCATCTAAAAAAATCCAATCATGTGCCAATCTTTATCTAATAGACCTTATGCAACAAGTCTCCACCTCTCCCATTTGCATTAGTAAATATTCTCTACAAGTCAAAGAATAAACCTCTTCATTCACAATTATTTATTCATTTGTGTGCATTCTACAGCTATTATATTATATGTCATATCATGTTCAGTCTTTCCAGAATTTTTTGACTGTCTTTCTATATATATATATATATATACACATACATACACACAATTAATTAAATAAATACACATATCTGCGTGCATAAATTCAAACTTCTGATCCACCCCAAAAATCTTGCAGAAAGCATGCCAACGTGTGAGAACAAAGTGTGAGCAAAGCCTCGCAACAAACAGCGAAGTAACCGAATAAATATTTGCTTGGGCTGCTTTACCAAAAAATAAGAAAGTGATTTTTTTCTTGCTAGACTTCTCTCAAAGACAGTACAGAACAGAGGAGAAGGATTCTTGTTGGTGTTACCTTGACTGCACTGACCTTTTTGCACTGGTCCCGTGTTGCGGTGTTGAAGTTGGTGGAAGATTTACAGGTGTTTGCACGTTGTGGAACTCTCGAGGTGTAGCCTCTGAAGGCACTTGGGGATAGAGTTGCAAGAGTGAGGATTGCAGGCTTCGGAGACGGGAGGTTCCAGGAGGAATCGAGCGTTGTGACTTGGGTTGGATTGGATTGAGTTGAACCGTTTGGATTTGCCCTTCGAGGCTATGGCGTTTTCACTTGTGGTGGTGGTGTTTGCAGCACTGCTGGGCACCCAAGTGGCAATTTCGGCGCAGGGAATTGAAACTAGTCACCATGGTCCAGGGATGTGCAAAGCTCAGGGTGGGGAAGTCGGAGGAGGTTCGACTCGGAGGGTTATCGACATCACGCATTCGTATCGGGCAGACTTGCCGAAATGGCAATCCAAGACAGGGTTGGGGGTTTTGACAAGCTTGGTGTCGAGTTTGGCCGAAGGTGACTTCGCCAATGTCTCTGAGCTGAAATTTGAGGAAGTGCATTCGGGCACTCATGTGGATGCTCCTGGGCATTACGTGCAGGAGCATTACGTGGCAGGATTGGATGTGGCGTCCCTAGACCTAGACACCCTCATTGGTAAGTTGATTCATTTGGTGATTGCTTGTCGGTCGCAAATCGGGCATAATAATGAAGGAATTAGATCGTCACGGCGTCAGGAATGCCATCTCCTCGTGCTTGAGAGGATTGAGAACGTTGAGTGTGCTGTTGCTGCTAGACAGGTTGCGGAGCTAGTGGGTCTTCGTTACAAAACGTTGGATTCGAACCCAAATGCCTAAAACCTGTAGAACTTCTAGTATCCACTTTGGAATTCCGTAGCGAAATGATTGACGAGCATTTTCTGTTTAACTTGTGCTTCTTGCTAAAGTCGGTGGTTGTTCTGCGCGCAGGTCCTGTGCTACTGATTGATGCACCACGGGATTCTAACTTGACAGGTTCTTATCCTACTATATTTGTTTTTTTAAGACCTCCAATCTTTCCGGTCGTTGGATGAGGGCTTCTAAGGTGACAAGAATTTTAAATTGATAGCAATGGTATGCGATAATAAGGATTTGAGGATATAGACCTAATTTTCTCCTATTAACTTCTATCAAGCATATGAACATGTACGCAGCCCAGGCATTGCAGAGTCTCCATATACCCCCAGGTGTTGAGCGCGTAATTTTCAGGACACTTAACAGTGACAGGTAAAGAGAAAATCGACAAAACGAAGTTGTTTACTTGTGTTACGTCTTCATGACATTCGTTAGTAATCCTGCCATTGGACAACACACTACTCCTAACACTCCTCAGACAATTTATGCAGCCATGGCTCTGTGATACTTCATGCTTTGAAACAAGCGGCAAGTGCTTGTAGGATTTTTTCATACAAAAGTTAGACAGTCCTTGCCTCGTTAACAGCTATATGGCTCTGTGATACTCAGCTAATGAAACAGCTCGACTGTCATACAGGAGATTGATGTGGAACATAGAATGGGACTCTTCTTACGTGGGTTTCACCACCGATGGCGCCGAATGGCTTGTAAACCACACTAATGTCAAGTTTATTGGTAAGAATAGGATGATTTTGCTTGTAATGTATCGTAATGCATCGTTACTTGGCATTATGTGAATGATACGTGTGATTTTTCTGTGCAGGAATCGATTACCTCTCCGTTGCAGCATACGTAGACCTTGTTGCTGCACACCGGGTTCTCTTAGGAAAGGTACATTCGTTTATCTCGGAGTACTCTTGTATCATCGATCAATCTGTTGGCCTGCATCTTCTTAGGTTCGAGGTGATTGAATATCAGAATACAACAAAAAGAATGGGTTTTATTCACATGTGGTCTATTCTACGAACTTTGTGCAGAAGCTTGTGATAGTGGAAGGTCTAAATCTAGACGAAGTGGAGATGGGCCTCTACACTGTCCACTGCCTCCCTTTGAAACTTCTACAAGCAGAAGGTTGTCCCATCAGATGCGTGCTTTCTGCTTAGAGTTCTATACATATGCTACTAACGCTCTTGCCCTCTCTAAATCACTCGTTGTTATCACTATCCTTTTTTACAATGATCAAATAAGTTCTTTTTCAATGGCATAAATAGGGTTGAGTTTGCCATTATGCATCAACATTTTGCTCTATTTATTTTATATATTGAATATGGAATTGTAATAAGGGTTATAATTAGGAGCCACAAGGAATTAATTCTAAATTGGATTTTAGAAAAGATTAATATTCGAAATCAATGTTTAACTTGATAAAGAATTTGGACAAGTCTAAAATAAATTAGTTCAAATTATGAGTCTAGAAAAATACAAATAAAAGTAGTTTAATTAAAAGTAGCCTAAGAGAAGAGAGATGATCAACAAAAGATAGATAAAAGTAATTCCATTAAAGATAGTTGAAGGGAAGAAAAAACACCAATAAAAATTAAATAAGAGTGGTCCATAAGAAGATAGTTTAATTAACAATAAATAAAAATTCTAAAAAAAATTAATATAGAAATTAAATTATTTTAAAATAATTTATATTAATTTAATTGATTAATATGTAAAGCATTGTAAAATTAGTGCCACCACTTAAAATCAATTTTAAGGTCTATGAATTCTAAAGATATACTTCTATTATCTAAATTGGTCTTTATAGCATTTATTTGTACTTTGGAAAATAAAACCATTTAATTGAGTAAGTATTTAGTTTTTCATTTGTTACCTATGTATCGCCTTTAAACTAAAAAGAATAGAATAGGTTGACAAAATCTTGTCAAAATTAAAACTCAAGAATTCTTACACATTAGAATTTAAGTTCTTATTCTTCTAATCACAAAATACTTTATATATTTCTCTCTCTTTTTTGTTTTTTACTTACTTACTTTTCTTATATAATTGATTTGGTTATATTTCTAGTAACTATACAAATTTTTCTTTTATTCCTTTCAAAAAATATCTTCAATTTAGATTTTTGAATGTTCTTTTAAATAAGTTTTAAGATTATCTTTATTATTGTAATTTTTCTTTGGTTTTTTTTTACTTTTATTTATTTTTAATCTATTTTTTATTTTTTATTTGATTTTGTTGTATTATTCATCCTTTTACCTTCATAAAGTTGTTTATTTGAATTTATTTTGTTTTTAGAAATTATTCTAATTCAATTTAGTTTTTTGTCTTTGGTCTTACATACTTGAGTATATTTTCTTTATTTGTTTATAAATATTTTTTGTCTTATCTTAGCATTATATAAAGTTATTATTCTTTAGAAGCACTAATATGTAATAGACTATGATAAATTCTTGTGAAGCAATTAATTCTTAGGAATATCAATAAAACAAATTATTATAAAAGCAAAACTTCAATTATTACAAAAATATTCTTATTACTTCTATCTATGAAGTACATTGCACTAAATTTTAATAAGTCACAAAAAATGAGGTGTATTAACTTCAAGCAAATTTTAAACATTTAATGTATTCTTGTACACTATATTTATTAATCCAATGTACTAGGTTTCTATTTATTATCTTTATATTTACTTTAATTTTTTTTCTTTACCTTAATATCTCTTCTTATATTGTTTTAGTCTCTTTATTTTTCTTCTTTCTTTAATATTGTTTTCTTATATTTTCTCTTAAGATAATATATGGTTTTTATTTTTATTTTTATTATACTCCAAAATAATATCTAATTAGATTGATATATATGTCATAATAATCTATCAAAATATTTTGGTAACATTGAGTCTAAATTTAATATCTACTTAATATTTAAACTAATAGTGCTATAAATAAAGATACCTTCATTTTTTTAAATATCTAAACATCTAAATGAAAATTGATATCTTTAAAAGATTTTTTTACATTACAAACTTCAAAATTAGTTAGTTAAAATCTTATTTTTTAATTATAATTTTAAGATATAATATTCTTTTTATAACCAAATTATATTATATCAATATATATATATATTAATCTCTTCCATAATAAAAATAATTTTTAAAAAAAATTATATTATTTTAATAATAATCTATTTTTATTATAGAAAATTTATATAAAAATAGAATTTTGATTAAATTAGAGTTAAAATATTATTTAAATACAAATTATAATACTATTTATAAAATAAATGACTTCCACATATTTATTTAACTTAAATTGATGTTTGTATAATGTTGAATAGAAGTCAGAGCATCTTTTTTTTAACACAAATCTTCTATTTTATCTTTAGATATTTTAATATTAAAATTAGTATGTTGGAATTTATTTATTTAACAAGACTGAAAAAATCTCTTATACACCCTTCTTCATAAGTGTTTTTTTTAATTGATATTTTTACCTTTTTTTCTATATATATTAAACAAGTCTATAGAAACTCATTTGTTTATTTTTAATAGATATTTAAGCACCTAAATCTTCTATATTTTATTTTTAAGTTTGCTATGCATCTAGAGATTTTCTTTTAGGATTTTGTTTCTTACCTAGACTTTAGTATAGCTTATTCTTCCTAACATACTTTATAAAATATAATAAAATATATTTCATCATATAAAAAATTGAACTAAAAAAATTTATCTATATCATATATACTTAGCTAATACTATTAAGTAAGTAAAACTAAAAAAGCTTTAAAAAATAAATTTAGGTCTTTTAGAATAGATTTCTTCAATTGTTTTCTTGATAATAAATTTAGTAGATTGTCCAATAAGACTGGATTTGTTTATATTTTATATCCAAGCATTTTTGTGTAGATAAAAAAAATCCTAAATATAAAATTTATGAAATCTATATAAAATTATAATCTTTTATTCTTTTTTATTTAATAAAAACTTTAAATTATTTCAAATCATGAGAAGAAATTTTGTTAGAATTGAATTTTTTAAAAAATCCATAAACCTTTTTTGTCTCTAATAAAAATAATTTTATAAATGTGATAATTTATTTTTTTTTTGAAACATAGGCATCCAATAAATTTATGATGAATTTTTTCGTAATATGTCTATCAAATCTATCTATAATTAACATCTTCTTGATATTTTTTTAGAATAAAAAATATTAATCGTTTTCAATTGTATGTTTAAAATATCTTTAAATAAAATCAATAAAAGTCTAGTATCTACAACAACCTTACACATTGTGTATAAAATAATTAATATTAGAAGCAATAAGCATATAAGCCTTTATAATCACTACACTATTTAGATTTAGAATATAGCTTGGTATTTTTATAAATATGTAAAAACTAATATTAAACCAAAGAATTATTTTTGAAACTTGAACTCTCTTACCACAAAGCTTATGTACTTATAATATTAGTATATTATATTTAGATATTATAAAATTAATATAGCTATGATTAAAAAAACTTAAAAGTATAATTTAACCTTTTAAAATTATAAGAGATAATTTTTAACTTGATATTAAAAGAAACTTAAATAAGAGAGATTTTGATTCACAAAATAATTTAATTTTTTTAAAGAATTTATATATTTTTTATTTTTCTAATCATTTGATTCTCTTTAAATTTTTAAAATTTAAAGTGACTAATTGAAATTGGTCATCTTTATTGTCATTAATGCCTTACTTTTCTAATGCATGATAAGATATCTTAAACATGAAAAATCAATTAAATTAATTAAAACTCCAAACTTTATGTCAAACCAATTACTTAATTGAATAATATATCTTATAGGTAGGCATCCGCTTTGAATTATATTTAATATAGTACCAATTATACTATATTTTATTAGATTTAAGTTTTAATATTCTACTTTTGAAAGACTTATAAGCTCAACAATGTCTTGATATTTGTCTTTTAGATTTTCACTTAGATTTCATGTATATATACATTTTTCCTAACTTGTCTAACTTTTCTAACTTGTCCAATGAATATTTAGTATGTATACTTTTTCATCATTACCATAAAATAGACTTTTTGTTTAATCTTTTTTCAATTATCATATAAAATATTTTATAGCTAGGATTTAAAAGAACTTATAGACATGTAGTCACTTGACTATATCAAATCTTATAGATTAAAATATTAGATCTAAAGGTTTAATTTTCTATTACAAGAATTTTTTATACATCCAATTTTTTTAATATAATTTTCAAACTATTATATATTTAATTTTTTATTTTTATTTTTATTTTTATGACACTAATAGTAAAAAAATCTTGTGGATATGATAACATTAAAATATTTTAAGATCTTTGACTCTTACTTTTTGACAATTCTTACATAATAACCAATACATTCCATAATTATTCTCTTAATTCTTACAATTTGGATAAAAATCCAGTTTATGACTTATTCACCTTTCATTATTATGTCAAAAGAGATATCAACTCTAAACCTTGGTAGATTCATATATCTTCTTAAAATAGCTTTAAGATTGATTAGTATTTAATCCTTACATTCTTACATGTCCTTCTTTTTTTTCACAAAAAAGAAAATATATATATATATATATATATATATATATAATATAATTATTTCTACTAGTGTAGTATGTATCATATCAAGTTCTATTGATAATAATGTAGCTACTACTCTATTCAAATATTACCTTCTTTTACCTATCTTCTTTGATTTTTTTAATTTTTATATGCACATATTGTATTTCTTACCAAATTATGTGATTTTCCTATCTTTTAAAAGAACCAACTAATATGTAGTTCTTTATTGTAAGATAATTACTAAAAAGACTAATTTAATTTGTTCATCCTCTACAATTAAATTATTTTTTAATCCTAATAAAAAGTACTAAATATTTTAATTCTTTTTTATGTTATACATAAACTTTGTATTTTAATGTTAAAATATACACATCTTTTTTTAAATTAATAGAAATTAATTCAAAAATATTCATATCAAGTTTTTTTATTTTAATCATAAATTAATAAAATCATTGGTAATATTATTTTTCAAGTATGATTTTTCTATCAACAACTTATTTTATTTAACTAGGCTATGTAAAAAATTACTTTAGAAGGGAAGAGATTTGGTTTAAAATATGTTATGGTTATGCATATTTCTAAATGTTTTGTTATTATTTTATTTTCTAAAGCTTATTTCTTCAGAAGAGAGTTTTTTTTTTACTTTAAATTCTATAAAATAAAAAATAATTTCTAATAAATTATTTTTTTATTCAGTACAAACATTCAAAATGTTTGTAATTATTTATTGCTTCTATAACATCTTCTCTTTTTCTCAAGTATTTTTTATTGTTTGTTGCTTCAAATGTTCAAACCACATCGTTGTTTTTAAAATTATTTTAGCATATAAGCATAGATTCTTAAATACAAGTAGCATAAGTAATTGTATAAGTCAAGACTCAACCCACTTTCCCTCCATAGATGATATCTTGTAGAACAATTCTTAGTAGTTTTGCCTCCCACTTGTTACTTCTAAGTTAAGATGTAATAGGCAAGTTACAAATAAGACACAAAATAAGACACAAAATAAGACACAAAATTAGTCTTCTAATAAACAATCTTATATTTTGTTTTAAGAATGTGTCTTAGTTATTTATATCTACAAAGACTTCAATTCAAATGCAAGTGGTGGTGTATATTTTATATGGATTTTTCTTTGTGTTTGTCAATCTAAGCCACAAAATTTGACACATTGCATCCTTTTTTAAGCTACTCTCATCTTATCTTTACCCTATTTTTTTTCTTAGGTTACTCTTATTATCCTTTGACTGTAAATTACCAAATTAAGTATACATATTTATAAAAATAAAATAACTCCACCAAATTTCTCATTTGGATGAATATTGATTTTTAAATTTCACACTCTCCATTGTCCCATCTGGAATGGATTCTTGGTGGCAATAATTGAAGGACTTGATGCAAGAAAGTCTAGATTTAAAGCACCTCATGCCTAAGTTTTCAATATCTAGAAGAGAAGCTCAAGAGAAATTCTTTCCACACAGATTGCAAAAAGACTCGTACAATCTCAGCCCTAGTGTATCGTAGGGCAAAACTGATGTCATTCAGGATAAGCTTGCCACTACAAAGCTTCAGATTTGTTCTGTTCAACAGGGGGTAATGTGATTTGCTCCCAAAAACACAATCAATTTACTTGCTGAGATTCGAATAGCCTTCGAGAATTGCAGGATTCCTTTACAGCAAGATAAAGTTGCACCCTTAGTTACTACAGAAGTTTTTACATGAGAAACGAGAAACATTCAACACGTCGAATATATGCAAAAGGTAGTAAATCCACACTTCCAGAATATTGTCCACAGAGAGACGACAACAAAGGATTCGTTGCAGTGATATTATCGGATGCTACTTCCTTTACTTCAGGAACCGAAACAAGAGCAACGAATACTGGCAAATCTACGTGCAAAGCCAACGCTCAAGAATACATCCAGGTGATCCAAGACAAGATCATGTATAGGAATCATCACATCGAAATAACGGAGCAGAATCACTCTACAAGAACTCGAGAAAAACAAATAACAGAAATACTGTGGGTACAGGTCAGATGGTCCACCAACCATTCAAGCTGACTCGAACTCACCTGCACAACGAGATTCGTTGACGAAATCTTTAACTCGTGTCTACGAACTCGCCGAAATGCCTTCAAACTTAAGAATATTAACCCCGTATCTTTAAAGCTCACCGCTGCCTTGTTTATAACGACAATCAGTAGGAATTATACCATCGTGAATGACGTTTCGCAAGAGTTATGCACGTGACAAAACAGACGCCTTTGAGAGTGATCATTCCAAAAGGCGTGGTACCGATCAATCCCACTTGTGTTCCGATCACCCCTGATATTTTCTGTGCGTGGCCAGCGTCCTGATGCTGCGAATCTATGCGAAATCTGAAGCAGCGTTTCTAGAGGTCGTTGCTCCGATCGCTGCAACATGGTTGGCAACGGCCTCGACTGTCAGAGATATGTGTAAAGCTACGCTGAGCCTGCGTTGGGTACCCTTGGATCCAGTCTGCTGTGGGGCCTACGCTGAAATTCTGCACATGTTACAATGCCCCAAGGACCAGATCGACACGGGATCATCGAATCCCGCGAGCTAGAAAAACGGGGTCAGCTGCAAGACGGCTGGTCGAATTTTCATGGCGGCTCAAATTACAACTTCACTGTAGTTACCATTGGATGACTTTCCAACGTCTGCCCATTCAATACCCATCTGCATTTATTTCCACTTGCAGGCTCTAAGCACATCCTAGGTTTAAATTAAACACCTGATGTCGATATTATTATATCGTGATTTTATTCTTTTTGTGAAAAGGTAGCGAGCACAACAATTCATTTCTCTTCTGCTGGTACTTCTGACCTTATTATTCTTAACAGGTTTTATCATATACAACAAGTGTAGCACTATGTAGGTTTATACAAATGAACCTTATATTAACTAAGTTGGAGTCTAAATGCGGGCATTAGAAATTTCCCAACACCCATTCATTGTCCTCCCGCAACTAGGATCCTTTACTCGGCTCTGTAGGCGGGAACATGAGATCCACGTGGGACATGAGGCAGGTCCAGCTGGGCGTGAGACTCAAAGCAGATTAGTCAAAGAAAAGGAATTTCCCGGGAAAAGTGACTGACGTGGCGGCTCGGCACCGTGGCTGGACAGACAGAGGTCATGCTAGAGTCATTCTGTTTCCCGATGCAGGTGTGACTGGGGCACATGCCAGCAAGGACACTGCCACGCGGGCGCAATATTCCTCCAGCGTGTCAATGACGTGGGATTCTTCCCGCGGCTGGCTGCGCAGATGTTCCCGCCCAAATTCGGACTCATTGATCTCAAGTTCAGGTGGATCACTTGCATTATGCTGCTGAGGTGGCTGCCACGTAAGTGGTCGATAGTATCAGAGAAGAATGCGGCACGGGCGCAAGAACTGGTTCGGGGAAGTCTTGAAAGATTTTTGGAGTACTTGACATTCTTTAGTCTATCATAAGGTTCAATTGTCAACTACAAAAAATGACCTTAGAAATCATATATGCATGTATTTGACCATGTAATTCTAATAATTTTTTTAATCTTAGATAAAATTTTAAATCTATGATTAGATTATGATTTAGAAAGAAGATTTTTTTAAATCAAGCTACTTTACATCTTTATTTTATAGTCTTATATGCCTTAACTTAATTATGAAGTGCACTTTAAAATTAGATTTTTTAAGGTTAGAATGCAACTATTATCTATTTTTCTATCATTGCATCTTTTAAGATAATTTTTCTTTATCCTTTATTATATAGAGCTTCAATTATATCACTTTGTGCTTTTTTGGCTTATACCACGGTTTGATACATTTCCAAGTAGCAATTATTTACAATAATTTGTATTTTTCTTAAGATTTTAGTAAATCTTATTTTGTCATGGATACAAAATACAGACTTGAAATCTAACAAGAAGTTCAAGAAGAAGTGGCAGAACTAGATTAAACAGATGAGTACAAGAACAACACCAGAAAGGTGAGCTAGAACTCCAAAAGATGTGTTGTCGAGACTGAAGAACTCTTCAGCCTCGACTCCTATATATACTACTGGCCTATGGTTCTAAGGAAGCGCATCAAGAAGCTTCCCAAGAACTATGAAGCTTCTCGAGCAACTACCCAAGAGCTAGGAAGCTTCTCAAGTAACTTCCTAGAATCTACTAGAATATTCTAAGAATCTTCTAGAGCCTTCTAAGAGAATCTTTAGGGAATCTTCAAAGAATCTTTAGGGAATCTTTGAAGAATATTCTAATAGAATATTCAAGGAATCTTCTGGAAGTTTCTAGAGACTTCTTTCTAGAAGGTTCTAGAAACTTGTCTCTAGAAAGGTCTAAGGACTATGTCCCTAACATCACCTCCTCCTTTAGCTTTGAGGTCTTCGAGAAGCAATGTTATCGTCAGTCAATACCAATGCAAGAAAATGAAGATCTGTCGCATAACCTCTGCTATGAACTCCAATTATTGTTCACGAGGCAAGTGATTCAATGGTCCTTGAAGCCACCGGTAGTGGCCCACGCCTTCAACTTCTGACCAAGCATGAACCTCCGTGTCTTCATTGTGAAATTGTCCTGCAAACACTCCTTCTGGCTGACCATTGTAGGCAGGCTCGACCTCAAATACAATCACCAGCGATCTGTTGCTCGGAATCCTTCGACATCGTCGTGGTGCAGGCGGTTCTTCATCTCGCGGTCGTCTTCGTGAGCTAGTTGCTTGAGATGACATGACAAGTGTAGTATCTTGGCTATCCATATTCAAAGGCTAAAACAATAAGAACAAACTTGGACTACTAACAAAGTTCTACGCTATCTTGGAGAGAATGACTACATCAACTATGGATTTTGGTGGTGCTCTCTCCTCTTTTCTGTTTTCTGGATGAGCAAGCTTCAGTAAGAAGCTATCGTCGAACCGGCTTGGGTTTCTCAGGATATCGTCGATGAAACTCTTGTACCTTTTGCGGCGCATTCGCGAGATTTTTGGCCGGCTCCCATGTTCGTTCATTAATATCGTAACCACTCCAATGCACAAAGTATTCTAATTTATCCCGTCTTTGCCGTGAATCCAGGACCTTTTTCACCTCATATTCTTCGTGGTTCTCTATTTCTATGCTAGGTGGTGGACATTGTACTCTTCCAGGAAAAGACGATTCTCGATAAGGCTCCAACAAAGAAACATGAAAGACAGGATGTACCTTCATAGTAGCTGGTAACTCCAAACGATACGCTACAGGATTGATTTGCTTCTGGATAACAAATGGTCCCAATCTCCGATAGTCCAATTTGTCACATAGCCGCTTGGTCTTAGTATTTCGTCGAAGCAGCCAAACTTTGTCTCCAATCGTGAATTTAGGTGCCTGATTCCGAAATTTGTCCGCGGACGCCTTGTAAGATTCTTGGGCAGTTTGCAATTGAAGCTTCAATATAGTTTGAAGTTGCAAAAGCTCCTTCACCAATCCTTCAACTGCCGGATTGTTAATCGTTGACGAACTCCATAAGTCAAGCTTCGGATGGTATCCATAATTGGAAAAGAATGGCGTTTGTTGAGTTGACGCATGAAGGGTGTTGTTATATGCGAACTCGGCTAGCGGTAGATATGCGGCCCAATCATCTTGTTGATAGTTGATGGTGCAACGTAAATATTGCTCTAAAACTTGATTCACTCGTTCTGTTTGGCCGTCCGTTTGAGGATGAAATGCCGAAGAAAGCTTGATATCTACCTTCAATATCTCAAAAAGAGATTCCCAAAATTTTGACACAAACTGGGTTCCTCGATCCGATACGATATCATCTGGTAGACCATGATATCGATACACATTATCAAGAAAGAGTCTTGCTGTGTCTTCGCTTGACGATGCCTTCTTGCAAGGGACAAAATGTGCCATCTTTGTAAGCCGATCTACGACAACAAAAATGCTGTCAAATGAATTCGATGGTGGTAGATCCGTAATAAAGTCCATGGAAACCGAAGACCATGGTCGGCACGGAATAGGCAATGGCTGTAGAAGTCCATAAGGTCGATGTCGAGGGTTTTTGGATCTTGAACAAATGTCACAAGATACAACAAAATCTTTCACATCCTTCCACATTTGAGGCCACCAGAAATCGCGGGAAATAAGTTCCAAGGTCTTATTGAATCCAAAATGTCCCGCAGTTGGAAAGTCATGACGAGATTGAAGAACTCGGAGTCGTGTTGGCCCTTTTGGGATATACAACCGCTCTTCGAAATATACTAGATCTCCTTCCATCTTGAATTTATCATCACTAGCATGTTGCTTGATATTAAGGGCTAGAGAATCTTCAATGGTTGCGGCCCGTACCTGGTCGAGGAAGTCAGCATCAATTGGTACAATAGCTGCGTTGAGTCGAAATTTCTCTGGCTTCAACAATGTCATGCACTGTTGATCAAATGCTGCATCTCCAGCCTTTGGCGCGAGATATGATCTCCTTGATAATGCATCGGACAACCCTTGTTGCTTCCCAGGCCGATAAGTAATAACAAAGTCGAACCTGGATAGCGACATACTCCACCGAGCTTGACGCCAATTCAAAACCCGAGCCGACATAAAATACTCCAAATTCTTGTGATCCGTATATATGGTCACTGGATGTGCAGTTCCTTCGAGAAAGTGGCGCCACTCTTGGAAAGAATCTACTATAGCAAGGAGTTCCTTATCGTGGATCTCATAGTTGATCTCAGCAGCAGAGAATTTTCGAGAATAGAACGCAACTGGATGGAGCTTCTCATCTACGCCCATCTGTGAAAGTACAGCTCCCAAAGCAAAATCCAAAGCATCTGTCTCTAAATAAAAGGCCTTTGTAAAGTCCGGATGTACCAAGATTGGACCTGTAGTAAATACCATCTTCAAATCTTGGAATGCTTTTTCTGCAATAGGTCCCCATTCGAGCTTGTCCTTGCACGTTAATCGAGTGAGGGGGGCAGCAACTTGAGAATAATTCTTAATGAAGATCCGATAGTAGTTAGCAAATCCAAGAAAATATTGTACGTCCCTAACCGTCTTCGGAACTTCCCAAGACATGATTGCTTCCACCTTCTTTGGATCCATCTTCAATCCTTCCGTAGTCGCGATGAATCCCAAAAACTCCATCTCAGTTTGGTGAAATAAGCACTTCTCCAATTTGGCATAGAGTCCTCGCTCCCATAGTTTTTTGAGTACCAGACGAACGTGCTTCTCATGTTCTTCCTCGTTCTTAGAAAATATCAAAATATCATCTAGATAGATGACAACAAAATCGTCTAGAAGCTCTCGAAAGATGTCATTCATCATGTGTTGAAAGACCGCTGGAGCATTAGTAAGACCAAATGGCATGACATTGTATTCAAAATGGCCATATCTTGTTCGAAAAGCTGTCTTCCATTCATCTCCTTCCTTGATTTGCACAAGGTTGTAAGCTCCCCTTAGGTCAATCTTTGTAAAGATC